GGATTAGATTTCAATGTAAAATTTTTGTTCAAACTTGCAGTGGGTCTCGGCACATATACATTTGTCTGGATCCCTCAATCCTTACAAAGGTCGATCCTGAGTTGACTGCTAAAAGAATCAAAGCAGCTCTTACTGATAAGTGTTATTATGACACAAAGATCTTTGCTTTCGTTGATTGTTGTTATTCGGTTGACTATGCTCTGATTGAAAATTTTGCTTGTGGGCGAATCCAAATCGTAGTCGTACCAGAAGGTGCATTCTCTTTATTTTTCTAGTTATTTTGTACGTATAAATAAAATAAGATTGTAATATATTCTAAGATCATCTACCTTTGATATAAAGGACGTGGTAAAACTGGGAGATTTAATAACATGGCATCATCGACTACTATTTTCTTGGCAATAATGAACAATCTTCGTGAACCAGCATGTGCGTTGCTACTCTCAAAAGACAAGGGCTTCGAAACTATTGTTGATGCTTTGAAAAAGAACCACTTCCAAGCCGGCTTATTTGATCCTCTTGATTTCCTTTGCTTCTATGGACCAGACCCTGTCGACCAGGGAGGCTCTTCACAAGCACTAGAGCAGATCATACCCTCTTCCGCAGAATAGTAACTCGAGTTGTGCTTTTATAATGCGAATATGCCTCATCTACTTGTACTATACAGTATTTTTCAAGACTATTTCATGTAACCTTTCTTCTTCATTATGATTTGGTATCATATACTGTATGATGTTTGCTTCTCTTCTTTACAAGTATATTATTCACTCAACTCTCATCTTCATCTCCAATATATCCCCACCTCTTTTTATCCACAATGATTCTAAGTAGTTAGACCACCTCCTTGTCAGTCTCTTAACATAAAAAGGGAACATTTATTCACATAGCGAATTCAATAAAGGTTACCTCAAGACTATTTGATGCGATGGTTAAATCTTTGACACAAGAGATCCCGACGAGAAAATTACGCATCATAGTTCTCTTTGGTAGATCATTTGGATTGAACTTCTTTTTGAAACTCAAGTTAAACAAGTATCGATACACGCCTCTACAAGGGAACTTGGATTCTTTAGTATGAATTCTGCAATTCGGTAATCAGCTAATTGGGCTTTTAAATAAATCCCCGAATTTATAAATTCCTTCTTCTTAGGACCTATTACTTTCCTACTCTAGTGGACTATTCGTATTTGGACTCCGCAAGACAAAAACATAAGACTTCAAATTAACAAAATCCTGAAAGACAACTTTGTCTGTTAATTGCCAAAGGACTGATAAATCCAAATCATGACAAACAAACAAACATAAAGTTCACATCAACAAAGTACTCAAAGACACGATTGCGAGGATCAGAGAACAATAACTTGGCATGAGCTAGAGAGCCTTGGAACGGCAAGGAGTTTCTCGAGGATGACAGATACATCATTCTTTTCTTTCTTTCTGTAATCACTCAAACAGTAAGTGAATTCCTTGAGGACTGTTGAATTCTTTAGTAAGTAACTCACTAGATTCATCTGTGTCGTCTCCTCTACCATCGGCTGTAGAATCTTAACATACTCGAGAGATGTTAGGAACCGCCTAGGTCCAGTTAAAATACTAACTCCCTCCTCCTTCCATGGAAATTTAGTAAAAACCTACAAGTTGGACGAAAACAGTTGAGTATGTGAAGCTTTCACTATTTTGATAAATAAGTAGGCTTATGGGTTTGGTAAACAATACTAACCAAGGAGAGATTTTAGATTCGGGCAGCTCTCAAGAAAGATTGGCAACGTTTCCCACCTGTAGTCGTCGAACTGAACATGCAAGAGCGATAGATTACGAAATAGTGGTACACCTTCACATCTCGAGAAATTATAGATGGCCTGCAAGAAAAAGTATCAGATTTTGAGAGGTGATATAATTTCTTATACCAAAAACTTTATGAAATTAAAATAGCAAGTAAACATGGAGATGTTGAATTTTCCGCTTAAGTACAGTGTTGATCCACCAAATGACATGAGATTGAGACTCCAACTTCAACTTTTGCAGGCGTGACCTACGATTAAAACCGAGAAATCTATCGACAAAAGTCACAAAAGCCGGGAAATGACCGGACTTCAAGTCTAATCCAGGTACTAATGGCCACAGATCTCTCCATCTTTTGGATAACACACTACTCTTAACCACATCTTTTGTGGGAAGATTCAAGAGAATGTGACATAGCAAGAAATCTGGCAAATTGCTGAGCCTATCTATATCATCATCACCGGAGATTTCGAACACGTCGCTCTGCTTCTTCATCCATGTACTAATTTCGGAAGATATGTACCTTTGAAATGGAACGAAAACTCTAAGCGAGTGAGACTACCACTTTATAATGACAACTGCCTTGGGAAACAAACTCTCGATTTCTTAACAGAAGAATGGCCATACAAAGAGGATTGGTATGTTTCGAGATGTGACCGTCGAATTTTCCGGCCACTTTTTCACTCCAGTCGCTGATTTTCCGGCGACATTCCAGAGTTTCACTCGGTGGGAAAGTGAAGAGTCTCGACGTAGGATTATAAAGGATATACGTTTGTTGGGCTTCTAATGGGCTGTGTAAGTTTATATGTTTGTGCAAGTTATTTCAATCTTTTTCACTTTATAGAGGCGTGTAATCGATACTTTGTTTAACTTGAGTTGATACAATTATCGATTTTGAGGGGTGTATTTATTCGTTTGTGTTAGGGATATATATAAATAAGAGGAAACTCTGGGAACATTGTCAAGCTTCATGTGTTCCTCGACATAACCATCAAGTATGAGTTGTTTCAAGTCAAATTCCCGCTTAATAGTTCCATCCAGGTACATGTCCCAAAGCCATAAAAGGTTGGATTGAATCAGTGAAGGTGATTTAAAAAGAAAAGAAAAAAAATCTAAAACCATGATGGCATAATTACTAAGTAATACATATATAGCGAATCAAATAATTAATACATATGGGATTTAATTTTAGTTGAACTATTTGATGACCTTTTGGATTATATTTTATATATATTCCCTTCCACATACTGTATTATACTTTAGAGAGAAAAAATAACCCTAATTGGTTGTAATTTTTTTTTTTTCCCTGTATGTTATGTAACTATGGATTTTTTTTTTTTTAAAGGAAAAACAATTTGAAAAAATCTATCCTCCGCAGATCTAACAAATAGCCTCTCTCTTCCTCATAAATATCTCGTGGGATCCATGTTGTTAAACCCTAATGTGCCGTTGGAAGACTCGATGGCTATATGTGGACTAGAGTTGTGTCACAGTAATCAATTGTATTCACGATCTGATGATTTATTCCACCCTCGCAGATGCTAAAACAGGCGTCTTTTGGGACGTCCATGATTTACCCAATCCCTAATCAACTCTATCCTGTTTCGATAAAACAGAAAATCACCAACGCTGTTCTTGGTGATGGTTATACTAGTGACGTGTCAATCCATCTTTGCGTTGATAAGAATAAGTTCCCGGATCCTTTGCTCAAAACATATTTGGATGCCGGAATCCAAATCACCTTCTTACCGGAAGGTGAATGAATTCGTTTGTCTCTTTAACACTTGTTTTTATTTTAGTTATGTCGTTAATCTAGATACATCTCCCTTGTTGTTACA